GTCCTTGGACCCTTAGGGGTTAATTCATAATCCCATGAACCTTCCCTGTTAAGTTTGGGGTCTAGGAGCAACACAACACAACCTGTGGGGGGATGCTACCGAAGAGGTCCAAGAACTCCATATATGGGAGAGAGTGTAGGGATATGATACACAGAGTTTAGAATTTAGGTTGCGGTGCTGCTAAGGAAGTTAATTAGGTTACCATAATACGGATTCTATAGTGCATATTTCGATTCCTTGTAATAGGCCCTTGGGGTACAGTAGAATTGAACTATAGAAAGACTATATGGGGATAATGGATAATGCTGACCCTCATTCAGGATTCTATATTACTCAGGATTCAAACCCTAAGAATCCAAGGACCCAAAATTAGGGCTTCAGGTCCCAAATACCATTCATATTATAGTATTTGGGGCCAAACCCTAAACCCTAAACCCTAAACCCTAAACCCGTGGGCCCTTAGGGAAATGTTTGCCGTCTTCGTGGACAGCCTGGCCTTCTGGCTTTGCATATGGATGGTTGTCACGGTTTAGGGTTTAGGGTTTAGGGCCGCATTATAGCAGGGATCCAAAAAGGGAACATAATTTTGACAACCACCCATATGTTTTCTGCACGCCTTGCAACTGGCCTTCTGAACCTCCAGTTATATCCACAGTGGATGATTTAGGGGCTCGTATTGGTTATATAAGTACACCTGGAATCGGGTCATAAGTATGCATTATACCAAGTTCCGTACCACGTTTGCAGTTGCTTGGCCTTTTTTGTATCTTGGAGGATTGCAAAATCCATAACGTTGCATTCCAACTGGGCTGCGCTGCAGCTGGCCTGTGGGTTTAGGGTTTAAGGAGGCAACGAACGTATCCCAGAACCGCGGCCCAACCACTCGAATTCGAATGTTCAAGCCATGGGCTTCTCCTAAACCCTAAGCCTGAAGTCGAAGCCTAGTACGGCGGGCCCCTAAATCCTGGGATCCCTATTTGCAACGCACGAGCATATGTCCTATGCATACCCTTATATTGACCCCTCATCCACCACAAACAGGCTACAATAAGACCCATACTGGGCACCTTACAATAAAAAACCTAGACTCTCAAGCCCATACAAACTTACCATTACTTAGAGTACTCACATTCCTGAATTTTAAGATTTTAAGCTCAAAATCAGCCCCCCAAACCCTAAGTAATGGCAATAAATGGCAATAAACCCAAGGCGTAACACTTTAACCCTAACCTAAACCAGAAACACTAAACCCAAAGCCCTGAGCCCTAAACCTTAACCCTACAACCTAAACCCCAACCCTAAACCCAAAGCCCTAAAACCATAAACCCAAAACCCTCAGCCCTGAAACCTGAACCCTAAATCCAAAGCCCTAAAACCTTTTCCCTAAACCCTAAACCCGAAGCACAAATCCCTAAAAACTAACACTAAGGGCCTTGGAGTAATATTTGATCTGGCTGACCAAGGTCAGAGTTAGCTAGGGGTTAAGGGTTTAGGTTTGCGGGTGGAAAGTTACCAATTGGAAGCGGATACTCTGCTACCTAGCCTCCGATGGCTTGCAGTATGTGTTTAGGGCTTAGGGTTTAATATAGGACCTATACCATACCCGGTGTTGGGATACCTAACTTCATGTCGAGGATCTTCAGCACAAAATGAAGTACCCGTAAAATCAGGGTAGGGTATAGAGGTGTAGGTAGTACAGGAAAGCCCCTAATATCTGCATAAATCCTACTCGTCAATTCTAGACCCTCATCTTCGACCCCTGGACTAATCGCGGTTTCGGGCGCTTAGGGCCTAGTAGGAACTATGCATAAATCTAAATCGTAAGAGCCAACCCAAGATCTTGCACCTTCAATCCTAATTGCTGAATCACATATTCTCCTGAAGAGTATTTCAACATTTCTGACAATCTCCAAACTCTGAAACCGCGACTCCAAAGCCTGAACCCTATCCATTCTAGGAAGCTCTTCCCTATTAAACCCTAAACCCTAAACCCTAAAACTAATCCTCCCCAAACAAACATGGGAGTCCTCATAGCCCCAGCGGACCCAACCCTGCACCAAAACCCGGAGACCCAAACGCCTCAACCCTCACCCTGAGTGCTCAACGACCCCACGCCCTAAACCTTGAACGTTAAATCCGAACCCCTGACCCGAACCCTAAATCCAGCCCTAGAACCCAAAAACCTAAACCCTAAACCCTATATCCTAAACCCTAAACCCTATATCCGAAATCGTAAACTCTAAACCCTAATCCCCTACTAACTGAAGCCCTGGGGTTGGTTTCCGTGCTCCGGCA